GGCTGAAGACAGGAGGCCTCTATGGGGCTAGCCATCCCCATGCTTGAGGTATTCCCTCCACACCCCAGGCCAAGTGCCACATTATGTGAAGTCCCATTTCTCTGTAGAAGGCTCTGATGCTGGGAAAGGCGGAAGGAAAGAGAAGAAGAGGAGGACCAGCAGCAAGGTGGAGGGACTCAACTACAGTGGCAGTGGGCATTCTGTTGGAAGACCTAAAGGACTAGGTTAGAGACAGATTGTTATAGAAAACAATCTATGTATCTGGATGCTAAGAGTTGACAACAATTTAATAGCACATAATCAATCAATCAATCAATCAATCAGTGTCCGTCATCATTATAGGCATAGGGCAATCGCAAGACCATGTTCCTCCTGTCATGGACTCTCACAATCCATCCTTAGTTATATAAGAACACCACCCAGTCTCCCATCATGTTGCCACCTGCCTAGGAACAAAGGGATGTTCTGCCTTTACTCCTCATTGCCACACAAATGGCTACAACAGCATTTTGGTCTCATAAACACAGATTGCCAGCAAGTAGCTTTTCCAGACAAATCACTCTTCCTGAAAATGATGGCCAAGTTTCAGCTTATTCATTTTCCCCACTCTGACCTGATGACTATAACTCATTATAGCATTTTATTGATCAGCTCTGTTGTGTTTGCCCTTATAGAGAACAAGTTCAATAACACTCAATATTACATTTTTATTACACTCAAGCTGCTTGATTCACCTGTGAATTTTTGTTCTTTGGCTTCCTTTGGAGATTGCAGCCAACCCCCCCCCCCATTAATTCTCTTATTAAAATGTGGTAGATGGCACACCTTCCTGTTCTATAGTTCATACAATCACAGCCCTACAGTCTAATTTGGGTGTAATTTTTCCATGCAAAATTAATAGTAGTAGTTGAAGCTGAGCCAACAATTTCTTGGAAAAGACTGTTCTTAAACATTTAAGGAGAAATCCCTGTTTCAAGATCCCACTGCATTAATGTATATTGCCTACCCTGCCTAATTAATCAGTGAAATGATCTTCATCTCCAACACCACACTAGCCAAGGTTTCCTCTCAGGATTAGGTGGAAATTTTCAAGAGGAGCTCTGAACCTAACTCAGTCTTTAAATCCTGGAGGAATCCTTAGTTTCCAACAATTTGTTAATTACAGGTAGTCCTTGCTTAACGACCATTCATTTAGTGACTGTTCTAAGTTACAACAATGCTAAAAAAGCTACTTACAACCAGTCCTTGCACTTATGACCATTGCAGTGCCCCCATGGTCATATGATCACAATCTGGCTGTTTGGCAACCAGCTCGCACTTACAACAGTTATAGCATCCTGGGGTCATGTGATCGCCATTGGTGACCTACTCAGCCAGCTTCTAACAATCAGTGAGGAAGCCTGTGATTTGCTTAACAACCATGGCAAAAAATCTCGTAAAATCGGGTGCGGTCATGTGATGCCTCATGTAACGACTGCCCAGCTTTACGATGAATGTTCTGGTCCCTGTTGTGGTCATTAAGTGAGGACTACCTCTATCAGCTCTTCAGCATGGGGAAGCCCTCAGTCCACTCATAGGTTCTCTTGTCTTCCTGGACCTGAACTGTTTCTATAATGTAACCCAAACCAGTTTTTTATATATTTATATTACATATTGCAATTCAAGAGCTCTGCTGGCCCCTTGAAAAAGGAGCCTATCCCAAAGTTCTGTTCCTTGATTTTTCTTATCAGGGAATATTTATTTTATGATAAATAAAAATTTATCATAAACTTGCCCTTGAAGTTTTATATAGACGTGAAATAGATACCAAGCATTTTCAATAGAAGAGAATAAGCATTTTGCTATATTTATACGAGTCTGTAACTTAAAAACCCAACAAGGACAATGGCATATACTAGGAACCTGACCTTCCTCCTGAATTTGGTTTCAAATGTAAGAAAATGCATTACGATGTAGAGATTGTGTGGAAACCCATCTCTCTCCATCAAAGTGATCTTCCTTCTACTTTCCAATGGTCAATACTCACTGAAATTTCAAGCTTCTCTGTTGCTATAGAGAGTGGGTACATTTCTCCCTTCCTTTCATGGTTTCTTTTATTGTCCAGTCTTTCTTCTGAATCCCAGTTGATGTGGAAGATTTTTTAAAATTAATTCTGGCATTCAAGCCCATTTTGTTTACTTTAACTCTTTCAGCTCCTTGTTCCTTTTTTGCAATACGAACATATATACACACATTTAGAGGCATTCATAAAGTCTGCAAAATGCCAACCTTAATTCATTCTTCCTGCATGGAAATTGACTGCTGCTCATCCCAGCCCCTGCCTATGGCAAAAATGTACATAAAAGGAATGATTCAACTCCTTGTGCAATCATATCAACATTGCTTTTCTGCTGTCTCGATCAATATGTATTTATATACCAGTAAAATGCTATACAAAAGTATTTTGCTGCATAAATGTACAATCAGATCAAATGGATTTTTGGTTTGAATGGGCATATATGAACATATGAAATTGTTGTATTTTGAATCCTCTAGCTCAGAATTATGCATGCAGATTGACAACTGTTTTTCAATCTAAGATTTCAGATGTTTCTCTATCCCCATCCTCATGGAGATGCAAGAATTCAGCATGAGATACTTCACGTATGATGCCTATGTTAGCTACTACCGTACAAGCAGAAGCTGGGGAAAAATGCATATAATTTTAAATATAATATCATTTCTTGCAACTTTCATATGAAGTTGCAAGAAATTATGCATATACAATGTGATCTGTAAAAACTGGATATAAAAGATACCCAGAAAAAAAATAAGATCTCTAATGAATTGAGTTCATACAGAATATTAACTGGAGTGTTAAAAACTTCCAAATCCATAAAGAAACTGAGTGGGGAAGAAATTCATAGGCATTCCTATTTAAAACATATAGAGAACCAAATGTACTGGATGATGTTTAATGATGAACACAGACAACTGTGTGTGTTGTGTGTGTCCGCGTGGACAACTTGTAAAGAGCAAGCTAAAAACAACGATCAGTGATCCATTAAATTTAAGGTCAGAGTAGATTTTACTACTTACCTTGCCTACAAGTTTTGGAAAGGGGGGTCTCTGATTTTCGGGAATTAAGATTGGAGGTGCAACAATCGATCTTCTTTGTCGTATGTTTCCAAGGCCACCTTCTGCTTTAAACATTTCCTAAGAAGAAATAGAATAATGAATTTAATTAGGGTTCCAAGGGTAGCACAATTCACTATCATTCTTGAGAACTTTTTTTTCTCTATATCCCTGAAAAACAACAACAACAAACATCCATGAGCCTAAGACCAAGTAATAAACTTTCTCAACCTTCATTAACTGTAGAAGTATTGTTAGTTCAAGACCTGGCTCAGACGTATGATTAATGCAGAGAATCATTAAGCTCCTTCAACTTAAATCTTCAAAATTGCTTTATTTATGGGAATGCCACTAACAGTTGATAACTTATGCTCTGCTCTGTATTTCTAAAATGACACTGTAACAAGTGTGCCGAGAAAAGTTGCAGGCACAGATGGCCCCAAGGCTCCGTAATGTTGCCAAAATAAATGCCCATCCAACAAAGGTGTGCCTAAACTAGTTGTCTTGTCTTTTAAAGAAAGACTTCAAGTATGTCTGTAGTTGATCCACTGAAATTTTAGGGAGCATATCCAGAAGCTCTAAATGCTTTCTCCAAACTTCTGTGTTGCTTGGGAAAACATTTGGACCTGGAACTCAACAATATTTAACAAGTATTATGTGCTATATACAGAATCTTCCTCTGGAACAGTAGATAATAACTGAAACTTTTTGGGAGGGAAAGGAGGAGAAATAAACCGTTGGCCCAATCTTCTATGGATGAATGAAGAACATGTTGCCAAAGAAACACTCTTTTTTTTCTTCTTCTGCCTAGAGGACTCCTCTTTCTGCAAGGACTCATCCAGGTAGTCACTGCAGGGTCAGCAATGACTGAGCGCAGACAAAAAAAAAAAAAAAGAATAATAAAAAAAAAGTGATATCAAGACTCACCTGTAGATCGTGCCAGGAGACACGCACGGAAAAAATCCTTTGTTATCATCATCTCCCAAGTTTCATTATTTTAGAAGGTTTCACCCTACACCCCAATCTTTTCCAACCTCCAGGCTATTGCCTTAATAGTCTAGATTTCCACTGTACAAAACACAAAACAGGCCCTGAAGGGATGATTTGGTTTGTCTTTCAGATTCCCTCCAGAGATCTGGGCCCGAGAAGTGTCAAGGAAGAGAGAATGAAAACTGAGTTCTATCCAGAAGGTGAAATCTGGGTCGCAGAGGTAAGTTTTTAAATCCACTTTCAACAGTAAATGCAGATGGAAGGTTCTGGCTGCCATGTATTTTTGCCATAACTTAGAAGAATGAGAAGAATATGACCTCTCTGCTCTCGGAGCGATAGAGCTCTTTCTTCCCTTCATAGCAATGAAAAGACACAACCATTGTTGTGAATCTCTGGGAGGGAATCCAGGAGTGGATTACTAATTATCTAAATAAGATTGTAACTGGTCACAACACCCATCCCTCCATGGACTCAAAATGCAAAGTGTGCAATCAGCCAACACAGGTGCAAAGGTTTTTTCCTTCTTTTCTTTTCTAACATTGGGACACGCCTTCCAATTTCTGGCCCTTTAAGATAGAAAAATGTTATACTTTTGTCATTTTCAGACAGAACGCTGATGTGTTAAGGACAAGAATATGGGGACCTAATCTACTAAATTAGATCCTTGGGCAATACAGCCAAGCAAATCAAGACTGGCTAGATTAGTATGGTATGGTTAATATAGTCTAATTTGGGTTTAGTCTATTGGATGAATCTTGTCATTGTGGTTTATCAACCACAGCTTATAGAACTGTGTGTTGCACACAAGCCCATTCACTTCTTGTTTATTCAGCCCAATGAATGAGTCATGTCACTGCTCCAAGGTTTTAGGGTTTGTTTAAATTTAAATGACGTGGGGATCAATTTCCATAATTTAAAAGTGCATTCTCTCACATCTACCATATATGGTCTGCCAAATCCAGCTGGCCACAAAAGTTAGTGTTTTTGAGGTCTCTTTCCAGCCATCTACTGATTATTCTGATTTTTGCAGCCCAGATCTGCTAGTCCTACATTCTCCCAGTGTTTTTGTTAGATTAAATTCACATGCAATTTCTGCACCATGTTTTGTGTTTACTTAGCCAGTAAATGATTCATGCACGGGATATAGTTTTATCACAATATTGTGTGGCAATAGGAATTTGGACAAACTGGTAATATTACAATGCCGAATCTGGATGTGGCCTTTCTCTCCTTACTTTGAATTGGTAGATTTTTTTGTTTCCCCAAGTCCTTCTGAATAACTGTTGCAAGGATGGTAGGAGTTGAAAAAGAGTTTCCTCTGATGTTGTCTTGGCCCTAATTATCACTAATAATTGAGAAGGACTGAGTCTATAATTTACATTTGCAGATCTCATTTGGGAATCAGGCACTCTGACTATGCTAATTAATAGGCTCTTTTTATGTTGCAGTCTCGATGCGTACTCTTGCCACTTGAAACTTTCAGTGTTTCAGCTCCAAGTTTGTGTGTGCACATTTTATCAATGAATTTATTTATTATCAAATTTAAACCCCATCAATATGCATAAACCGTCACGGCAGCTTATACCATACGAAGCATAACACAACGTAACCGTACAACTATGATCCTTTTGTATGATTTTCACGCTCACATGATTTGTAAATGTTCTTGTTTGTAGACCTGTTAGACTTTTGATCCATATCCAGTTATATCTGACCAAATTCTGAAAACTAATATACTGATTCAATTAAAAAAAAAAGGAAGGGGATTCTGATCTTTCTTTAGGGTTTGTCAAGATCAGACGCAGCATCTCCAATCTGCTTGTTTATCTGTCTATCTGTCTACTTGGGAAGGTCTCTTAGGGACCCTAATGTCTTTTACAATTTAAATGAATGGCTTGACTGCCTGCTACTAACAAGAACCATTATTCTTCACAACAAAATCTTTATTAGAAGTTGTCATGGGAATGAGTGAGGGCCTGGACTGCTATCTATCACCATGAGAGCCAGACTCATCCTTGGTGAGACAATCAGTATGTATCCCATTATGGCTGACCAAGAGAGCAGTGGTTTATTTCTGTTTGATGTCCAGAAATATGTGAGTTCAGTTCAGTTTGATAGAGCTGAAATGAAGCAATAACACTTTTCCATAGTCTAAATTAATAAAATTCAGTATCCAATTTGGCAGACTCCCTAATGGCCTCTCAGAGGGACATAGCTCCAGTTTCCTGATGCAATGAAAAAGCCTGGAGCTGGAACTAGTCCAAATGTCCGGGGCAGTTGACTGTTAGAGGATTTAAGGGGAGGTGAGAGGTAGTGAAAAATCTTGAGAATTGGGAACAGTGAGAGGTTACCAGAAGGCGGGGAAAGAAATGAGAACATAAGTATAAACCATCAAGAGACAGAAGGTGAGTCTGTTGACAGCTCATCTCATAAATTGTAACTTAGCACAGGTGGGGAGAAAACTGGGAGAAAGGCTTTCAAGTCTTTCAAAGAAACTCCACCTTCACTATATGTGAGGCTGAGAAAATCCTCCATAGGTTTCCAACAGTCTGTATTTGCCCCAATACTGGCATTAAGAGTCCCTACTGAAGTCTTGCTTGCTTGCTTGATCTTGCCCAGCTGTGTGGGGTTTGACAGTGGAGGGTTAGGATCTGAGAAAGGGACAGCAAATTTTCAAAGTGGATGCTTTTAACTAGGCAAGGGGAGGTGGAACGTCTTTCTGACTTTCCCCCCAATTTTCTTTTTAGCTGGTCATTTAAAAACATCTATTTAAAACAGATCACGTAAGATAGTTATGTAGGAGACCTTCAAGAGACTTTGTACAGGGGGGAACAAAAGAGGAGAACATCATCTAGCCGTCTCATCAAATTAACTTTTGATGTATTTAACTTTTCTAAAACAGTATAGTCAGTTTCATGAGTCCTCAGCACTGGTTGCAGACATTCTCCCTACATGTTTACTAGAAGACAAAGGTCCAGTGAAGGATGAAGAGAGGATCTGAAATTAGAGAAAAGACACCTGTCCAAAACCATGGAGAACTGCTGCTAACTAACATTCACAAGATTTGCAATTTTTCTTTGAAAGGAGGCTGAGTCACCCTCCAAAAATGGGTAGGGCCAGCATAATACTTTTCTAACTCATTTTAATTTGCAGAAAAATGTAATAAAAATAATGAAATGCAACTCATTGAATACTTCCCATTTATTTGAGGATTTTCCCCGTCTTTCTTGTAAAAAAAAAATAAAATACAATGATACTTTTGGGGAAGTGTTTTGTCTCTACCAGGTTATGGACCTCTTGTTTAGACAAGGATCAATAACGAGATGGAGCAGACTGGTGCAAGGCGTCTTTAGCGATTTGTTGAGTTATGCCCAATCATGGCAGCGACAATGGCAGATTAATGGGGAAATTGATCTTCTCTGCAATGCAATATGTTCTTGCCTTCAAAGAGATGGTTTGGATATAATTAATATCTGTCCAGTATAAAAAGAAAAGTCTTCCTTCCTGTTCACATCCTGGCCCTGAATATAATCATGTTCTTTTCTTAGCAACAATCCAGAGGTAGATTCCTGATGATTCCCCATACAGATATAACCAGGTTAACTTTTTGAAGCTCCACTAGAGTTGACCAAGTGCTGTTCCTTGTTGCATCCTGTCAAATATGCAAAATATTATGGGCATTGCTGGGTTGTTATCATGGACTGCATATTGATAGTTAATGCTTCCCAAGTATTTGCCAAAACTTTGTTTGTTTTATTCAAATAACCTTGCATTTATTAATAACCCTTTTGAAAACTCAGCCAGTATGTCAGGCACAAGGGGCCTTACTTCTGTGCAAAAGAACAGCTGCTTCAATAAATCAGAGATCAATTAATACCTTTTTTTTAAAGCTGGCTCTGTGTAGACACCTGCTTGGGAACCAGTACCTCACTTTTTCAGCTTCAGTTCCTCTGATATCTCCCAGCAGAGACAGCAGTTTTCATCAGAACAAAATAAACCTAATTATGATGAATGATGCTGGAGAGATCTAGCTTCCCACTCTGCTGTTCCCTAAAGGTTGGGAACCATGGGGCTGTGGGTCTAAGCCAGGG